TTCTATTCTATTCTATTCTATTCTATTCTATTCTATTCTATTCTATTCTATTATTCAGATTCACTTGATTCAGTCAGTGAATCTTCTCTTCCAAGTACTGCAGAAGCTTGATAATCACTCATTCATTCAAATCAGGTTTGTTGGAGCAGAGAAACACGTAAAACATGCAGGGYTGCAGCCCTCCAGGACCAGGATTTGCCCACCATCACTTGTTTAGAGTTACAAACTAACCTAACATTCATGATTCTGGTCTGTGGGAGGAAACCAAAGAAAACACACWCATGTACAGAGAGAACACGCAAACTTAACTCTGCTTTATATGAATATTTTAAACCTTTCGGCCAATAAGGATTGTTTTTTAAAGTGCTATAGAAATCAACATTGATTGATTGATTGATTGATTGATCGATTGATTGATTAGTGCCTCTCTCTCATCTGTTTGACTTAGTTTGCTCTCAGTTCTAAATTTAATCATTTATTTTTATTTTAAATGAAGAAACAATGAATCATTTTATTTTTGTCTGTTGAAAGAACTTCACACAAATAAGACCRGAGAAGATTTTGTTGCATTAAACCTTTTTGGGAGCAGGGTCTGCACAGGCARGACACAAATAAAAGGGTCTGTAAACATGTAAGACTCAGCAAGCCTAGCTCTTTGGTTAACTGGTTGGTTGCATCTCCAAACATCTTCACGACACTTCCATATTTATTTTTTACACATGCTACTGAGAAGCAATTTCCTGACTGTGCCAGTAAGTGTTTTGAGCTTGTTCCAAGTTGCTGTTCATTCTTTGTTCCTTTGTCAGCCTAAAGCACCTATATTCTTCTATTTTTTAGGTAATTAATTTCCATACGGGACTTTACTGCTCAGCTTAAAGTGATAAAATTTATGTTAAACATTACTCAGAGCCACTGCTGGATTGTGATTTGAATAGATCCCTTTTATGGACTGTATTTCTGCTTTTCACAGAAGCAGCTGGTGTTTGCTGGTATGAGATCATCCACTTCTTATAAAATAATTATCTCATCAGCAGCATGATGGTGATTGTTACCACAGAGCACTGATTCATGTCTCTTAAAAGAAAAGCAGGTGTCAGCTGCACAAACACAACATTGTGGAGTTTTTGTTTGTGTGTGTGTGTGTGTGTGTGTGTGTGTGTGTGTGTGTGTGTGTGT